GGTGCCAGGTCCGGGGCTGTAGGTGGACCCAGAGAGGACCCACATGGTGCCCCCCAGGGGTCAATGGGAAGAGGGGTAGGTCAATGGGAAGAGGGGTAGGTCAATGAGGAGCAGCCATGCGGGCAGCCCCATTAGGGCCTTCTGTATACCCCGACATGTACCAGCTTAGACCACACTGAGCCCTGTCTCCTGTGGTCCAGGCTGGCCATCCAGGCAGAAGAGAATGAAATGCTAAAGGCTGCCCTGGACAGTGCCCTGCGGGGAAAGGAGGAGGACTTCCGGATGTACCATGAGACCCTGGGCAAGGTGAAAGGGGTCTTCCTGCAGGCCCTGCGGCAGCAGAAGGGAGACAAGTAATAGGATGGCAGCCCAGCGTCCCCCCAGCTGGTGGGGCAGCCTCAGATCTTGAGAGGACAAAACTCTGTCTGCGCACTCCATGGAAGCCAGCCCACGCAGCCAGCCAGCCTCTTCGGCTCCTTGAGAAGGACCACAGGCAACGTCTCAGGCCAGGAGGGCAGAGAAGAAGCCTCGGTGGAGCACTGCAAGACTCCAGGGCAGGCTTGGCTAGGGGAGGGGTGGAGGCCCAGCAGCCCATCAGTGAGAGCTCTGGGACAGCAAAGCAGCTGTGAGCGGACAGATATGGTCCCTCGGGCAGGTGTTCAATGCCCTTGCCCTGGGACCTAGGTTGGGCCCCTCCACACCCACATGGCACACAGGAGAGCCCTCAATGCACCAGGCTGTGCACATTCCCCCATGCCCCACCCTGCCCCCTCTCCAGAGCATCCTCCTCACCCCCACCCCAGCTCCATCTGTGATCATCCCCACTTTCCACACTTGGGACACTATGCTTTCAGCCACTGTGTCAGCCTGCTCCTTGGGGCTCTTCCTCAGGTGCAGACCCTCGGACTTGTAATAATAATGATTATTTTCATAATCACCACAGCTCCCAGTGAGTGAGCATCCCCATGGAACCCTGACCCGTATAGCCTGTTAATCACCCAAACTGCACCTTTTTTTACAGAAGAAGAAACTGAGGCTCACAGAAAGAAGCTGAGCTAGTATTTGACTCTTGACTAATTCCAAAACCAGGGTCTTGGAGTTGAGCAGATTCCCCAGGGCTGGACAGCTCTGCCCCCAGCCAGCTGCTCCAAGAGACACCTGTACCTGCTCCCAAGGCTGCAGCTGGTGGGTGCTGGTGGCAGAGGCAGAGGTGGGACTCTGCTGGAGCTTTGCCAGAGGGCTTTGAGGCAGCAGGTCCAGGTGAAGGTATAGTGCACTGCCCTCACCGTAGTGACCTGGGAAAGCTACTGCAGGTAGAACCCAGGATCCACATGCCTGTCTTGACTGTCACAGTGTCACCCCTCTCAGCTATAGGTATAGTGATAGGGAAGGGTGGACCCAAGGAGGGTCACCCAGAGCCATACCCCCAACCCCAGACATGCTGGCTATACATGCACCCACGGGTCCACACAGCTGCAGATGCACACAGCACCTAGACTCAGGAACATGCAGTTATGCACACGCGCTCACAGGCACCTCCACGCGTGCACATGTGTGCATACACTGGTACACACAAGAATGCACATATGGACACACATTCCCACGTGAGAAGGCAGTCACTTGTGTGTTGCTTGTGCAGTGACACACAGATGCAGGTGCACGTAGTTTGAAACACCCCCTCCCCCAGGAAAAGCCACTTGGGGCTCCTGGGGCCCTGTATACTCAGGCCCTTCCTCAGGGATGCGGCTGTGGAAGGCCAGTGCTGGCTCCCACCCCCAGGCCTCACTCAGGGAGCCCCCAACCCTGCATGGAGTCACACAGGTCTGGTGAGCCCACAGCAAGGTGGAGTGAAAGCCGTCAGGATGAAGTGGTGGTTCTGATGGGGTTCTGAGTGTCTCTGGGAAGCAGGAGTTTCTCCCTGGCTCCTTGTGAGGGGAAATGGCCAGGCAGAGCACCAGGAATGAGAGGACCTGTGCCAGGAGGGGACAGTGTGTGACAGCATGGAGTTGGCCAAACACAAGAGTCTGAAACGTAGTCAGCACCTTTTCTTTTTTCTTTTTCTCT